GATCTCCTAACCGAGCCGGTACCTTGGGGCCCATGGTGACGGCCACAGCGTCGGCCAGCAGGTCGACTCCCTGCAGCATCAGAGCTCGAGCGTCGGCGCCAAACTTGACGTCTTTGGCGTAACACCTGGTCAGGTGAGGAGCGAGGGCTCGGCTCACCGGCCTCACCTGCCTCATCACTGTGGCCAAACGAAACATGTCTGAGGAGGAAACACAGGAACAGATCAGAGTCACGACCAATTAATTAATCAACAAACCTCTAACGAGATGTTTGATCATTTAAAGGTTGAAGTTGTCGTGGTAACTGCTCCCCCAGTGGTCACAGTTGGTATTTTGCACTTCTACGAATACGTTGATCAAATATCAGAAAAATACGAAAACATGTCAGCAAAACTTCCCAGAGTCCAAAAGGACACATTAAAGTTGATGATTTAACAGCTCAAGTCCCAAAATGTCCAACTCACGTCAACACAGAACGAATCAAGAAGCTCTGATGTCATAATGTAGTTTTTATCTTCATAAAGTGTCTTAAAAGGGTTCAGTGGTTCTAAAAAGACAAACAGCCTGAAGACAAACTGTCCCAACCAGTCAGAAGAGCTGCCGACACTTCAGCTCAGAGGACGAGAGCACGACGTTAAAGTATTAAATTAAGCAGATAAATTTAGCATTTTTACAGCATCAGGTTTTATATTAGCTGGAGAGTCAAACAGCAACAAGCTCAGAAGGAAGGAAAGAGTCAGATCATGAGTTCATCCGTTAATGAGCTGCAGCGTCTTTCAGTAGTCGTAGCATCAGTCTGAGCGAGACATCGACTCATTCTGGCAGCGTTTTAGTCACTTTTCAGGAACAAAAGCCACATTTTCTAAAACGTAAGAATGTGACGCTTTCCTTTGTCATATGTGATGAAATCATTCAAGTTGTAAAGTTCTGGACTGTTTGTTGAACAAAACGAGATATCAGAACACTTTAGCCTGCTGCCTGATTTAAAAGGCATTGTTGGCTGTTTTCTGACATTTAATAAAAATAGTTGTATAGTTGTACTTTTATACATGACTGGAACTGTTCTGTGTTTTACAACTTAATGTCAAATCCTACGTATGCACGACCAAACCAGGAGACATTTTCTTTTATTAAGCTCAAACCAACACAGAGGTAGAAAATGCACCTTTTTTTTCCCCGGTTTCTTTAACTTAAGTTTAAAGCACTTAGTTAATTTGCACCAGTTAACAGAGTCGGCAGCATACAGACAGATCCAGGTGGCCCATGTGTCTGAATAAAACCCACCAGACTCAGAACTGGACTGAACTACTGCCGTTCAACCACCTTCATTTACCCACAGACAACAAAACAGTTCTACAATCCAAGAAACGGTCAGTGAACACGGCACCGACTGTTCTCACATGCAAGTAAAGAAGCTGTTTTAATCAGTTACAATCGAGTATAATTCAGCTGAAGCTCTTCAGACTTTTAAAGACTGCAGAGATGAAACCCACGCCAGAGAATGAAGTGAAAGACTGATCCAGAACCTGCAGGAAAAACCCAGAAACTAAAGTGTGGATGGTCTCCTGAGCAGAACCAGGACAGAAGAACTTTGCGTTGAAACTGTCTTACTGGCTTCATTAGCAGCATTTTTACTCCACTTTTACTTCCATAATAAAGCTTATTATAGTATACGAGAGTTGTCCTGAACATTGCAGGAGCAGATGACAGCGTGAGGGAGCAGATGAATGAATATCTGGTGACTACATGAACAGATCTGACACATGGAGCCTCTTCATTCACTGATGTGAACATCTTCAAACCCTCCTGGTTAAAGGCTCCCGGTCGGGATCATTCAAGCCTCTCTGATCGTGGCTGGATGATGAAATCTCTCCTCCACTCGGTTCCTGGTCGCCCCACGTGTCTCCTCAGGTCGCGCGTCACAAGGTCAAATGTGGAAGCGCGTGTTTGAGTGACTCCATCAGCAGCTGCGTTAACTAGCAGTGTTCAACCCTGACTAGTCTCTGAGCCGCTCTAACCGACATGAATTAAACTTAATTAATCCGGTGGTTTGATCAGTAAAACACGACCCTCCTGGTTATATTAAACCAACCGATTGAGGCTAAAGTGGTAGTTAAGGAGCAGCGCAGCTAGTTAAGGTCTGTAGTGACACTATAACACGCGTGTCCTTGCAGTTAGGAGGAAGATCAGCAGCTAGTCGCTCCTAGAGCCTCCCGACGAGCTAAAGCTGCTACAGGGAGCTACAGCTGCTCCAAAACACAGAGAACACACCGATAACTGTGAGCTTTTAAATGTTTCAAGGCTGTGAACTCACCTGTGAGGTAAAAGCTGCTACAAGGTCTGCAGACGGAATGATATAAGGACAGAGAGGAGGAGGAGGACAGCCGTGTGGAGCTGCGGAGACAGCACTGCACATGGCCTATCACATCCGGGTAATTTACCGGCCCGCCCCCGGAACCTGCATACACCAAAAATACCGCAAATAAACGGTTTAATTTAGGGTTTCCAACAAATATATTTCACCTGAAACTCTTAAATGTGCTTATGTGTGATATGACGTTGTAATATATTGCATATTTAATCGGTTGTGATAGATTTAGTCACAAATTATGTACACATGCTCGTTCCGGGGCACACGTTTCCAGAATTTTCTCGTGTGCCATTGGAGGAAAAAAATAAAGGTCAAAGTTGACATTGTGCAATATTGCCCGAATTCTGAATGCGGGGATTTGACATAAAACGCCTAAAATACGGTTTAAAATCCCCCCCGACCACACTCTGGCCACATTAAATGATAACTATGTTGACGTAAAGCGGTGTTTTGTAACCAGGTTCCGGTGTACTGGAACTTTCTGTCAGGCCGGGCAAGTTGAGGACGGCCAGTGCGCATGCGCCTTCTGGATACTTCCTCACGTGGAGTTCTCCCATCCAGTGGCAGATCCACGCTCCGTGCAGACCCACGCCGGCTCCCTGACCTCCCACACGACCTGAAATGGTAAGAAGAACAAGATAAAAACAGTTTTTAATTCTCGCTGAGTCCACGCAGGTATCACAGAGAAACAGCGGCTCGTCTAAATCCTTATTGTGCTTTAATTTCTCTCCATCTGGCTAACAGCAGCTAACCGTGCTAGCTAACTCTGTCACATCCATTCACAAGGTCAAGCTGCTGAGGAGCAGACAGAGAACTTCTACCAACACGTTGCTGTTTATCTGAGTGATAGGAACAAAAGTAACAGTCGGAATAAACAGCAGACTAACGGAACCGACGTTAAACGTGCAGCTGCAGCTCTTAGCTCGGTGTTAGCTAATGATTAGTCAGTTACTACATATTCGTGGACCTTTCATTCATTCCCTCCTGATGACAGCGAGCACAAAGCAATTTTCACCGTGTTGCTGAAGGGCAACCCCGGAGAGACCGGGGATCGAACCCGCGACCCTGAGGTCCGTAGAGGAGCTCTATCAGCCTGCAGAACTGATGCTCAGGGTTCAGATTAAAGCATTTAAAACCAGCTGCACTGAACAGAAAACGGGATAGAATCTGTACAATCAATAAATTAAAATACCGAAAAAACAAGACAAATTCATCAGATGCGTCTTTAAAGTAAAATAAATTTAAAATACAGAAACATTAAGAGCAACCAAAAGCTGCTGGAAACATGTACGTCTCCACAGTTTTCCTTAGAGAACTTTATTAAACCCAAAAGAAAACCCCTCCTGAGTCCATCTGGTACATGTGATTCCTAAACTTTGGAGCTGCTGCCTTGAAGACATGATCTTCTTCACCAATAGTTAAAGCAGCTGTTCTGAGGCTGCAATATAGGTGAAGTTCTGCCAACTCATACGTGACCTTATGAAAACAATGACAGAACCTTAAATCCATGCGGTGTCTCAACAGGTGCAGAGATACAGGTACAGGTCTCGTACTAACATCCGTCTGGTATCTGGAGTCTGTCAGCAGCCTGTGAAATGTTTCAGATCATAGTTATCTGCTTGGGTGACAAAGTACTTTACTATGATCTTTTACTTGAGTCAAAGAAGTAGTACCACTGTGTAGAAGTATTGTTTCAAGTACATCATAAAACCGAGTTCTTCCTAAAATAATGTGTACTACTTTGGTGTTGGAGGCATTAAAAGTGTTGCTAATTGATCATTTATTAGTCTGTAAAGTAACTAAAGCTGCAAAATATAATTAGAACCTAAAAAGTATTTCCTCTGAAATGCAAAAGTACAACACTAAAAGTACACGCTGACAAGATAATATTCGCTGCAACATTAGCCTGAATGAGATGATAAAGTTAGCGGCTACATTAGCTTAAGTTTAGCTTCTATGTTAGCCTAAACAGAGAGAATTAGCTGAACTAGAATATCAGCTGCTGCCTAAACATTAGCATTTACGTTAACCTCAACAAGATAATAGTCGCTGCTACATTAGCCTGAACGAGATCGCGCTAACTGCTGTACTGCTTAATAAGAAAACGTTAAATGTTAACCTGCGTATATACAGACGTACATCTTCTACCTTCGTGGAACTTAAAGTGCTTCACAGTGTTTCTCATTCACACCTTCATAAACTGATGCAGGGTGCTGCTGCCATCAGGACCAACTCATGTCTTGCCCAAGGACATGTGGGGGATCGACCCACCGACCTAGCCATCAGTGGACAACTCGCTGGACCACCTGAGCTGTACCTGTGGCTCAGGTGGCA